ATATATAAGTAGGATCATGTAGGAACTCAAAAAGATGGTTCTAAAAATCCTAACATCGTCATTGAAGTGGCCATACATTACAAATGAGGTTATCGTGTTACCAAAACCCCCCCAAAAAGATGGTTTTAAAAACCCTAACATCGTCAAAAGTCACCACTGATCAAAATAACCAACAAACATCACCTAAAACACATAATCACCAACAACAAAACATACCCTAATACATATATATTATACTAGCAGATGACGAAGTTAGATAAAAACAAACAACCTCCGACGCCCCCAAAAACGCTAAAATCGCCGTCGTGCTACCTACCGACATAACTACACCCACCAAAATCCCCACCCAGAGAATTCGACGCAACCACGAACCCCGATCAACGACATCACTGCAACTCTAACAACAACCATCACAGTCACGATCTTTTTCAAGTAACATATTTCCTCCCTAAACTCGCCTAACTGTTGTCGGATGTCATCTCTCATTTCTTCAATCTGGACTGGCGTTTCCATGGCGTGAAGCTCGTAGTCAGTTGGTATGTCTAGGTCCGATACTTTGAAACCACCATAGGAGAAGCTTTGTTCTGAGGATATCTTCTTGATTCATAGTAGCCAATAAGGGAAAAGATCAAAATTGGCTGTATTAAGAAAAGGATACGATTCGGGTAACAAAGTGGGTGGGGAACACTCATTTAGGGTACCCTTCAACTTATAAGGGGGACTATCGGGGATGGCTTGGAAAACTTGGGGACCAAGATAGGAACAATACTAGTCGGTTCACATTCCACTGTGGAGGCCACATCACCAAAATATCCTTTGAACCTTTTACAATCGGTAAAAGGACGTAATTAAACGGTCATATGAGAGTTAGTTTCCTTAATGTGCAATGTCTTTTTAAAACAAACACGATAAGTTTGATGGGCTAATATGACATTTTCCCTTAAAATCCAAAAACTTAACCTCCCCATCCGTTCTCACATACAGATCAAACATGTAACTTTCCGACTCAAATCTCATACTCACATTCTCAACATAAAATTAGGTAAAACCCCATGAATTCTCGTTGCGAGATTCTGACCAGGATGCGATTTCGGACGAAGCAACGAAATTCCATTTCCGGGTGGAGAGAAGGGTACCATTTCCGAAGGGTGAGGTAGAAACGATCAGGTCTAGGGGCATTACAGTCATTACACAAATCATAAGCGTGGCAAAGATCATGGACCAATGAATCAGATGATTTAAGCAAAAAGGAGATTTTGGTAAACGAGGTGCATTTGAGGATCCCGGTTGGGCTGATCCAAGCAGAGTGTTTAGAGGAGGTCCAATTGAGTTTAGGGAAGATCTTTTATTGCAAACAATCAAAGCAGATAAAATATAAAAAAATTAAAACTGCAAACTTAAACAAACAAAAAGATAAATAGATTGATCTTATCCTAAAACACCTTGAATGATTCAGTCAAATTTTGGAAAATTAAAGCATTTTTGAAATCACAAATAGTTATATGTATGTTGGGAATTCATAAGGTTATGTGGCTATACCAGTTAATATTTAGGGTCGAGAAGCTTGATAATGTGGTGGTTATGATGAATGAAGACACTAAACTGGAGCTTCTTCGAGAGAAAGGAAGTAAAAAAAAAACCATAAACTTGGTCATCAACCATGATAGTGGGGTTAGAAACAGTGGTGACGTTGATACCGGAAGGTGTGGCAGCTGAGGTAGCCGAATGGTTGAGATTAAGTTTAGGTGAGTGGTTGTTGAGGAAGAACTGGGGGCGGTGGCGCAATATGGTGGCAACAGTGATTAGTGTGGTTGTGACTGGGGAAGATGATGATGGAGGTGGGAGACGATATTGACGATGATGGAGAGAGGGATTAGAATTTCTATGATCTTGGAACTTCTGTGATGGTGCGATTGTAAGTGGGTGGCAACTATCCGTTGGGTGGGGGTGTGAGAAACTGGTGGCGGTGGTAATAGAAGTATGGGGACAAAGGAAAGACATGGGAAACCAAAACATCCCAAAAATACGGTCCAAAAATTTCGTTTTTAAAACATTATTAAAACCATAGTTATCATCACCATAGTATAAAACCATAAAACATGTATCTCAAAAGATCAATATATATCTGTCAATCATATCAAAATCTCATATCAAATATCAGAGTAATCTCCCAGGCTAGAAAACTATGGTGTGTGCCATTCGATCATCCCGGGCCACTTCCTTTGCCAGCTGAAGTACCTGAAACCAAACTGAAAGCTGTAAGCACGAAGCTTAGTGAGCTCCCCCAAACTACCACATACCATACAATAATCACAAAATAACATATAACATAACTTTAGGACTACTCCCAGCTGCATCGGGACGAACCCGACATCGGCTTACCCGACATCGGACTCCTGTCCGGCATCTGGCTCACCCCGGCATCAGACCACGTCTGGCATCGGGCACCGCCCGACATCGGGCTTACCCGACATACACACTGCATAACATATATCATAACACACAACATAACACATACCATATAAACTAGCATACATCGGGCTTACCCGACATCGGACCTAGGCCCGGAACACATAACACATATCATGCATGAATCACAAAGACATCAAGCATACATAACTAATTCTCGAGACTGCCCTGACATCGGACCAAAGTACGGAACACATACTCTACATAGGGACAACCCCGACATCGGACCTAAGTCTGGCACATGCTAACATACACAAACGGGCTGGCATTGGTGCCTTCGACCCGTTCCTACTGAAGGAAGACTCACCTCTCAAACTGGATGCTGATCTCGTGCGTGAGGAATCTATGCTGGCTGCTCCCACGACTCCCCGACTAACTCTACACAATAATACTTAGTTAGAAAACTGAAAATCCATCTAAGGATAAAATGACCATTTTACCCATGGTCAAAGTCAATGCTCTGGTCAAAGTCAACCTTCTGGGTTGACCAACTCGCCGAGTCAACCCTTCAACTCGCCGAGTTCTATAACTTAGAAATCCTGGAATGGTGACTCAACTCTCCGAGTCATTCCCCCGACTCATCGAGTCCTATCAAGCTGCTCAGTCGTGACTTGGCGAATCAACTCGTCGAGTCTCTCTACAGACTCGTCGAGTTCTACTATAAACTAAAATCGGGACAACACGACTCGACTCGTCGAGTTCCCTTATGGACTCGACGAGTCCCTCGGTCTTCTTGGCCATCTTAATAGATTAAGCCCTTATCTTCTAGATCCAAGGTCCTTAGTTCGTTTGCTCACTAGAATGGCCTTTCTAAGGGTAAAGTTTCCAAATTTACCCGTTCATAACTCTTCTTAAAGGGTTTAGACAAAACCCTAATTCCTTTAGGACATGGATCTTGTCCAAAAGCCTTAGGATCTCAAATCCAAGCATGTAAACCTAGATCTAGGGCCTAGCTATCAGATAACCACGAAAAGTCTCAAGCTTGCTTCCATGCATGGCCTTTTTGAGCTAAAAAGGCCATAAATGCGTCTTTAGCACTTGCATAGGGGCTCTAAGGGCATAAAGTTTGCACCTTTATGTCCTCACAGCCTCTCAAGGCACTAGATCTGGAAGAACAACTCTTGGGTCGATCCTTACCCACAAGTTAGCAAATCTTGGACCAAAAACCCACAAAAAGAGGTCATAAATAGATCTAAGAAGAGAATGATCAAGTTTGAGGCTTTATTACCAGAAAATGCAGTTAAAGGGATGAAACTTCTGGATCTACTGTCTTTCTCTTGAGTCCTCTAACTTCTTCTTCTTCCACAAGCTTCAAAAGGCACAGATAACACTCAAAAGTGGCTCACACACTCAAAAGCACTCTAGTGTTTCGTACCTGAGGGTTTGGGACAAGGAGAATGTAAATGAGGCTAAGGGGTGTGGATTAAGGTGTTTAAATAGGGTGCAAAACCCCGAAATTAGGGTTTCACCCTGACCGAGCTACTCGCCGAGTAGATAACTTAAACCCCACGCATGGTCTGTCTTCCACTCGACAAGTTAGGGCTACCAACTCGTCGAGTCCTTCTCTCAAAATAAATAAATAGTTAAATTAAATGCGTACCAGGGAACCGGGCGTTACAGAAACACCATGTACAAGTAGGATGGAAACGATAAGTCGGGAAAGGAAGAGACGCGTACACCCGATGTTTCCTAACATGCTTTAAAGTTGTACAAAGTCTTAATTTTACTTTTGTGCAGTTAGGTAGTTGTAAATTATCCATCCATTATAATATGGTGTGTATATATATATATATATATATATATATATATATATATATATATATATGTGTGTGTGTGTGTGAAGACCTTGAGGCACTACATGGATACCCTCAAGTGGTTAGATGAAGATGGATCAAGAATATATGTGTAAGAACATGTATCTGAGCATGTATATATATACAGAGTATGTATGATGTATACGCAAGATACATGTATCAGAGCATGTATGTATACTTAGAATATGTAAGATTAGATGAGAAGGGTATTTGCTAAATACCCACGAGATAGTGTAGAGAAGAGATAGAGCAGATAAGAGATAGAGGTTCCTTTGGGGATAAGAGATAGAGGTTCCTTTGGAGACAAGAGATAAATATTCTTTAGGGGACAAGGGATAGAGGTTCCTTTGGGGAAAAGAGTATGATTCATTCGGAAATAAGAGTATAGTTCCTTCAGGGACAAAGAATATGTTTCCTTTGGGAATGAGATTATGTCCCTACGGGGGAAGGAGATAATGATTCCATTTGGGGGTGTATATAGATGGTTCTTGAGGGAATCCAAAATGTGTATGGTTAGAGAAGATAGAGAAATATTCCTTGAGATGAACAAGATAAGAGAGTTATTTGTAAGAACTTAGAGAATCCGTGAGGGATTAAGAGCCAGGAATCTGTGAGGGACTTAAGAGATGAAGAAAGAGTAAGGATCCACGAGAGATCATGACAAAGAGGATTAAGTCCGGATGAGCGTTCCTAATAAAGATAATGTGATGTGTTTCCCTTAGATAATAGATGAGATTAGAGTATGAGATGTGACCGTTGGGTCTAGATGAGAGAAGAATGTTGAGACATTAGAGAAGAGATGAAATAGAAAAGAGATAGAGCAGAGAGGAGATAGAACGGAAAATAGATAGAACAAAGAAGAGATAGAGTAGAGAAGAGATAGAGTAGGAGACGATCCTGAGAAGAGGCTAAGAGAAGAATATGAGAAACATAGTATATGAGATGAGAAAGAGTAGATGACAGAGCAAGATATGGATGATATGAGATAGATGAAAGATAAATAATAACCGTGTATGCTATTAAAGAAATAGATCAGATGATAAAGTATAAGATTAAGAGAAGAAATATGAAAGCTAAGAAAAGATAGAAGAATAACTCACCAAACACAACGTGTCTGATATTGTAGAGATTTATGTTTTGCAGGTTCATGTTGTAGAATCCGTTGTACCAGAAGAGAAGAAGTGAAGACAAGAGCACAAGGTCAATATTTAGATAGTAGGATGCTATTTATTGTAATTCCTTGTTCATGCAAATATACAGACTTTTATTGTAAACCCGTGATTAAACCTGTGATGTAAATTGTTTTAATTAGAATAGAATTCCGCATTGTTAGATAAAACTCTGATAATTCCCTTAGATTAGATGTTAGAAAATTCGGTTTGTTATACAAAGGAATTAAAAAGAAGTGGGTCTAAGACAGGACGTCTCATGCTCATCGAAACCAAAATGAATGGAGGGAACACCAACGTAATAATAGACTCATGTTCGACTTACAACTTCCTTGCTGAAAACGAAGCTAAGAGATTGTGTATTCACTACACAAACGAGTCACGATGGTTGCAGGTTATCAACTCTTTATCATATCTTATCCTAGGAGTCTCATATGTAGTACCCATAAATATTACAGAATGGGAAGACACCGTAGACTTGATCGTTTCATGACATAATCAAGATATATTTATCGAAGATTCAATGAGGACGCCAAGTGTTTAAGTAGGGGAAGGTGTTACATGCCAAGTTTTTGGAAGTCTCTGGAACCTTTTACAGAATACGAGAGTGTCCAAGAATGTATGAGAACACCGAGTACCTATGAAAAACAAAATATAAGACACAAGAAGGTTTTAGAGAAACTAGAAGAACCTGGAAGTAACTATAACATACTAGAGCAATGTGGACCTTGGATGGTTCTAGAACATACTAGAAGACCGTGGAACAAAACATATGCAAATACCCTAGAAGGATCTAGAACATGTTGTAAGACATTGGAAGGCTCTAGAACATAGTAGAAGACCATGGAATGGTATATAATGTTCTAGAGTATGTTAGAAGAGAAAGGAACATCCTGGACATCTCTAGGATGCAATAGAACAATCTAGAATATTATGGAATCGTGTATATAAATATAAAGGTTGTAAGATTAATCTAGAATATTCTAGAGTAGTAAGGAAGCCTATAAGATTTCTAGAGTAGGTGTATTGAGCCTATAAAAGGGTGGAGCTCATTTGCTCCAAACCATTGAGAGTTCATTGTATACTTAATAGTTTGAATTAATATAGATACTTGTTTCATTATCGAAGCCTTTTAGAGTTATTGTCTTGCTTAATTACGTAGTTAGTACATTAAAAGGAGTGAAGTTAGTCTGATTAAGATGAAAGTACGCTAAATGCCACATGGTATTGACTAAGGGTGACAATCGCGTCGAGTTCGGGTTGGCGGTTCAGAATGTATCAATCCGTATATGACCTATATAATTATTCTTGTCACGATTGGTGGGTTGGAAACATGAACCCGAATACGACTCGTTTAACCTGTTTAGTTATATGGGTTCATATGTTTATGGGTAAGATTTAGGTTGGCGGGTTAACCCGTGAACCCAAATATTATTTGCGTAATAGTGATGACCAATTTGATTTAGGGCATGCAACACACATATGCTGATAGGAATAGTCATATAACTTAAATACACTATATTATAAGGTGAATCTTCCCATAGGGATG